AAACAAAAGAAGCTGAGGGAGTGGGCGAGGGGTTCGACTCAGCCGACGCGGGCGGGCACTGTGCGCCTGCGGCCGAGGTCGAAGCCCGCTGCGCCTTGTCCGCGCGGCTGCGCTGTACGGCACGAAACAAGGCCGCCGACGCGCTGGGCGCATCTGCGGCTGGCTCACTGGGCCTGTCTGGCCCGTCACCTGCATCCTCCTTCATGTGGGCCAACATGTCAGCCCTCTCCTGGGCCTGGGCTCCCTGGCTGGCCGCTGCAGCCGCCGCCATCGCCGCGACCCCCTCGGCCTCCAAGCCTCCAGAGCCGCGGGCCGCCGACCCTTCGTCCTCCAGCAGCTGCTCCAGGTCGGGCGACGGGGCGAAGGGGTCCAGGTCCACCAGGTCCAGTGAGGAGAGCGGCCAGGCGTCCCTGAGCCCCGACTCGGTGATGTGCACCTCCAGGTCCGCCGCGCACCTGGCCACCTCCTTCGCCCTGGCTAGGCAACCCTCCAACATCATGGCGTCCTGCTCTGCGATGGCGTGGAAGGCAGCCCCTTCCTTTGCCCTGTTGTCGGCACGCCTGTTGCCCAAGAGCTCGAAGAGGGTGAGCTCCCCGTCTCTCACCGCGGCTTCGGAGCGGTGGGCTGGCACGTGGCGCATGATTACGCCCTCCGCTGCGTCCCCAACCCTGGCCCACACGTGGGCGTGCAGGGAGCTGGGGCCGCAGGCCTTGGCCAGGTTGGAAGCCGCCTTCACCGTGCTCAAGCAGTCGCTGAGCAGCGTGTAGTTCCCGATGATGTCGGCGAGGCCAATGGCGGCGGCGTAGTCCCCCCCTGCCTTGGCCGTCTGCGACGGGAGGTCGCTGGGGGGCACTGCTCCCCATGCCTCGGCGAGCAGCCTCCCGTCGGGCCCGCACACGATGACGGCCCACCCCGCGCTCCTGACGCGCGGGAAGTCCCCATTCAGGCACGACCCGTCAGTGAAAACGAAGGACCCGTCTGGCACCACCAAGATGCCGCCCCCCCAGCCGCAGGATCTCCACGCCCAGCTGTCGTTCCAAACCGGCCTGACAACGAGGAGGCTGATGTCCGCGAAGAGCCCCTGGTTGAAGAGCTCGTCGAAGGGGGTCCCCATGCGGTGGACCTGCTCCGCTGCCTTCCTCACCTGGAGCGGGCAGTAGTCCCGCCTCCAATGCGCCCATGCTGGGCACTCGTGGTGCCTATGGTGCATCGTCCCAGGGGCGGCGCCGCAGAGTCTGCACAGAGGGTCGATCTCACGCCCATGCCTTGCCAGACGGGCCTGGGGCCAGCTGGCCAAGGAAGCTAGGCGTCTCAGACAACCTTTGTGGTGAGCCGTCCAGGTCGCCGATTCTCTGGCGCCTAGGAGCTGGTTGATCGGCGTCCACCACGGCGGCAGTCGCCACTGCCAGAAAGTCTCGGGCCTGCTGGTGTACTCTTCCAGCGACGCCGCCTGACGCGCGTCCTCCTTGACCTTGGCGGCGAGGAAGGCGGGCGAGAACCTCGAGACCTCGAACTCACTGCCCGTCCTGTCGGTCAGGACCCGTCTGCCAGCGCTGAGCCCCCAGCCGACCCTCCCCAGCGTGAGCACCAGCGCCGAGACGGGGTCGCGCACCGCTGCCCAAGGCCTCTGCAGCGAG